TGTCATAGAGACTGGTCGACCAGTTGACTGCCCCCTGGTGGTCAGTGCACGTCACAGCAAGCGGTTGCGTGGCTTTAGCATGTCATTAGCATGCTATGCTTTGATTGGTTGAACAGATGACCAGCTGACTGGACACTTAGTATATAAGGCTTTTATTATATAGGATGGTTTCTACTATATTCCCTAGTACCTAGAACAGTGCCTTGCAAACACTCAAACTCAGCAAATATTGGTTGAATGAGTCTATGAATGTTTCAGATGGTCCATGATTTTAAGGAGTCAAACCTGTTTGTGCAGAGAAATGTTTTGGCTGTTTTTCATAACAATTTTAAATAAAAAGCATCGGAGAAAACACTTTCTCTAGCTTGACCTAGTTAGGCTTTGATTCAAATAGGATGCTTTTGGGGGAAATTTCCACGATAATGATGACATGGGGTTTTAGAGATCTGATGACAGAAATAGATGACAATGGTAATGGTAAAATAATACCATCATGACTCTGAGAATAAAGGCATTAAATACATATTAATAATTAGAGGAGGTGGCTCAAAGTAAGTGATGATGTCAAAATGCATTACTGTGGACAGACTGACTTTGGTCTCTGTGAGAGCCACACTGTCCCTAGTGAAAGGACAGTCAAGCCTGTGAAAGGGCACAAGGGACAATTCTATGGAGAGTGGAGTTAAAGTCCTCCTGGGAGGAAAGCGCCCACCCCCACAGGTAAATCATCTCTTCCAGGGCAAGCCAGGAAGAGGTTCATTCACTTCGTGTGGGTGAACACACTTGTCCCAAGAGGCCGTTTTACTTACAGCTTCTTCCCCTGGATCAGGCTCATTTGTTTTTATATCTCAAATCTATTTGCAGTCAGTGCTCATGTCGCATGTGTTATTATAAAACACCTTTCGGTATGCCACTGCCAAAAGGGAGTGCTCCAAACACATGTTCTCCTACGGCAATAACTCCTTAATATAAACTACATTTAATAAAACTGGTAGTGACTCTAAGAGGGAACAGAGTAAGGCATATTCAGAGAAAATGTCTGGAAGAAATTTGCAATTAATATTTTACAAGACATTTAAATTCTACCAATTCCTTCTTGCTGTTAAAATTTAAGAGCTTTTTCAAAACTGTATTCCTCTCTGTTATTACATCCTTAATTAAATTAATTTATACAGTGAATGCTCTAATGATACTTGCTGTAGATTTTCAATCAAAACGCCTTATTGCTACAGACAATGTGTGTTAGGACCTTGAAAAGGAATGACACAGGCACAGAGCCGTCACTGGCACAGGGATATCTGGCCCTGACATCTGATTATTGAAAAGATTGTGGTAGTTGCTCTGCGCCGCAATTAAGGTCTTCATTTTATTTTTTAATTAAGCTAAATTAGGTCAGTGTAAACAAAATGAATCTTGCAAGTTGCCTTTCCAAGGGTTTCTCTCTGGGAAATACAAAGGCAGATGATGGCATTTTTATTGAATGATCCCACTAGTTATACTGTGCCTACCTGAAACTCTAAACAAAGGAAGCTAGCCCCAAGCCAAAGGCCTGCTGTCAAAGCAGAGGCAAGCAAACCTTGTCCAAGAACACAAATGGCCCAGCTAAGGAAAGAGTCAGTCTAACAATTTTGCACCAAACTCAATGGCTCATCAAGTAGCCCGGCCTGTGGCCTGTGCAGGCACAGTCGCAGTGTGCTCTGCAGGCTATGGAAGCATGATGCACAGGGAATTCAAGGGTGTGTGTGCACGTGTGTGCGTGTGTGTGTGTGTATGTGTGTGAGAGATCAGAACAGCTTAGTCCCCTTAGTACACAGTAGGCACTCAATATCATTAGTGATTTGTTAATCTGATGAGATGTCAATCATAAGTAGGGCACTGCACATAAGATTTGATCTGTTGCTCATACTTGAAAGCTGCCATTTCTGAAAGAGAACATGATCAAACCAGGGAAATGAACCCCAGATGCCCATTCCTTGTTCTATGGGTTGAGCTACTGAATTTACTCCCTTTATTTTTAATATTCTATTTCTAGGATTCGTGTTGAGCATTTCAGAAAACATAAGGCTCAAAGTGCTTCTCAGTCACAGGATGAGAGACAGGCTTGAGAGATGGGTCCCTAACGGCTTTGCACTGCTGAGTACGGCCCTGACCCTGAACCACATGCCCTGCACCCTCCTGGTACAGGGTCTCTGTAACCCACATATGACACGAGGGGAAGGGTGTCTGTACCTAAAAATCGAAGAGCAGACACAGTCCACTGCATGACACATAGACCCGCTGGCTTTTTTTCACCTCTCCCATAGCAACCAAGTTCTTTGTCTCTCTCAGGAAGGGAAGAAAGATGGTCCCTAAACACCTAATTTTGGTTGCATGACAGCGGTTCCATATGATACAAAATACCAACTACAAAAGAAAATAGAAAAAAGTAAAACAAAAAACCCTCAACACCCAGCACTCTTTGATCTTGTTTTAAATTGAATGTTTTGGACACTTAAAAAAAAAAGGCAGCAAGTGCCTTTTTAATGGATTTTATCCGCAGGAAAATGATTACAGCAGGAAAGCTTTAAAGTGTCAGCTGGTGATGCGTTTTTCTTTATCCCTTTTATTTTCATTCAGAGAGATATTAAAGGCATATGGCACAGTGCATCATTAATTTCTTATTAATTTCATAATATGAAGGCAACCAGTAAAAATAGTAGTGATACAACTTTAAATTACTGAGCTCCTTGGTATTTAATGAGAGACCGAGCACAGCAGGGGTTCTGTTAAATTAAGTTGTGCCTTCACATCGCAGTGGGGAAACAGGTGTGTATTGGTTTAGAATTATGGAAATGTTGACTAATTCCAAGGCTTGTAATCAAACAGCAAGGCATCCTGTAATATTTTTTCCCTAAGAATATGCATTAATCTTTTATGTCTGGTCCCATTTCTTCCTGTCCACCAAAAGCTCACAGCTGAAAAGAAACCACTTTCATGTTATTCCTGTAGCTGTTAAGGGTGATGTTTATCAGATAAATCTATACATAAATGCAAGACCGGGAACTCTGTTCCCATTTACCTAATTGGAAATGGCAAGTGTGGCGGCAGTGTGCGTGCTGCGAAGGCTATGAGCCTACAAATCAGACCCGACATCTCAAAATTTTCATTTAACCCGCCTCAAGTAATTGGACATATGAAACTGAACAGGATAAAAAGAAAACCCAAAACAATCCACAAACCGTGTTTTCCAACCCCAGAATCATTGTCCTTAAACAGGGGGTCTCCAAAATCACCATCCCTGACTTGTGCATGTAGAAGTTTCAAGAAGAGAAAAAAAGAGAGACATAGGTGACATTCTTTTAAAATACAGAAGATACTACTGGTTTGCTAAGAAAAGGGTCAGAGTAAGATGTCCCAAACAGGAGCACGCTCATCAGTCACTTGTGTGTTTTTCAACATGGCTCAGTCACCATGTTCACTCCGGGTTTCCTGAGAGCCAGTTCATACATGAAGATGGCATGCTGAGAGCTGTGCTTCTACTGGGGACAAACGCAAGCCAACCAAACTTTGCATTCATTTAAAACAGGATGTGATTTGGCATCAATATACTCTAAATGCCAAATGACCATTCAAGATTTCAAATATATATATAATCATACATAGAAGGGATTTGGTTGTGTTATTATGACATAACATTGCAACCTCTTCGAATTTACATTGGGAAAAAAATCCCATACACATGGAAAATGGAAGCTGAAGTACTACTTTCCTTTTTAAGTCACTTAGACATACTAAAAAACCCCTCATAAGTTTCAGAGAGAAGTAGTTAAATCAAAGTGGGAGGGAGAATCCTCAGGCCACACGCTCGCTTGCTGGACCTTCTCTTTGATTTGCTCACATGAAAAGGGGAACAGCAAAGTCGTGTGATTCAAGACGAGGGCCACAATTTATTACTTTTGGGTGATTAAGAAGCTAATGTTGTGAAAACCTTTTGTTGAGTCTTGCCAGTACAAATATTATAAACTTTTCAATGGATATCAGGTGAATTACACAAATGGTCTCTTTTGTGGGTGTGATGGAGGGTAAAATTCGGACGTGTGCGTGCATTTACAGAGACAGCGCAGTGACACAGAGGTAGAATTACACCCTGAAAACATTAGGGGCATTCTGTTACCTTCCTTCTATTCTTACCAAACCACATTTCAATAAAATAATTAGCAATACACTACTTACCCACAGGTTCTTCATGTAACCAATCACAACATTATGATATTCAATGAACTCGGCACTGATATTTGAGTCAATGGGGGAAATATTCAAACAGCACAGGGATAGTCATACTAGCATGCACTATATAAAATTGCCCCCAAACTCCAGAAATCATGTAGTCTCATAAAGTAGTCACATAAATCAGTTCACTTCTAGAGAATTGTACTCATCATCAGATATTATCGGGAAGGAAATGGAAAAAAAAAAAAGTAAGCTTTGTATTTTCTGTTCTCTATCAACACGAAGCCACAAACAGGGCATTAAAACATTGACTTTGTTAACCACCATTGACTGCTTAGAAGCCATTACGAGGTTTAATATTATAGCGGTACAGGGTCCATTTTGTTCTTTCAAAAGAAAAATCTGAAGACTAAATTTGAAAAGGGGCTCCTGGTGAGTAAAAGCTTTTCCTTTTCCATTTGCTTCTCTTGTGTGAGTTGGTTTTTTTCCTCCCTTTTAAAATCTTAGCCCACCCAATACCCTTTGGCAGCCGCTGTGACCCAGTGGGGTCACTCTGATTTTCTAACCAGGGGACACGCGGTTTGAGAGCTCTTTCCATCGGCATTAATGCGGGTGCTTCTTTATGGGCCGGCCAGCTGGTTTGGCTGCCGCAGGGGAGCAGAGGGGTCAGCACACACTCCTCAAAAGACCAAAGTCATTTTTGGCACTAAGAGCCCATAACTAGAACCTTCGGTTGAAAGGACCATTTTCAAGCAATAAAGTGATTTTGGTACAAAAGTAAACCGACTCACCCCAGGTAAAGTTTTAATATTGTGCAGTGCATTCTGGGCCTCAAGTGCAGCTTTTCTTGTATAAAACGTTACGAAACAACAACCTACAGAGAGAAATGAAAAGGTTTTTAGAAATGTCTGTGAAAGCTTTGCTTAGATATAATGGAGACTGTGGCGAACAAATAATCTACTTAAAAGGATGCACAATTTAAAAATAATAAAGTGCATGAGAACAGTAATAACAACATCCCAAGCATTTACACAGTGCCTTTCATCCTGAATCATATTTATTAGCTTTGCCTGTGTTGAGATAAATTCATAGCTCTGTGCACCAGCCACCTGGAACACAGCCCCTCGGAAATGAGGGTGGGAGGTGGGGGGTGAGCTGGTAATGGGGCCACACAAAGAAAAGTGTTTAATCACAACAATAGCAGAAACATTAACTATGATTTCCTTAAAGGGTATCTCTAGGACATCACACTTTTAAAAACACTTTCTAAACTCAGTGGTTTAGACAACTGGATTATAAGCCTCTTAAAAGCCTGGATAATGCTCTATTTTATCTCCACCACAGTACATAACGCAAAGTCCCGTACATGAGACACTCAATATTTGTTTACCAGAATGAAAGACTTTATTTTTACCAGTTAGCAACTACGTTACAGTACAGGTGGCCACATGTCCAAACAGGTATCTGCACACTCTGTCCCACGTCTTAAATCTGGCTGTGGCACATCGAGTGGCAACCTCGATTCCTTATCTCAGAGCTGATGGGGTCCAGGCGGCATGCCCCTCCGGGAGAGGCTGGCATCCACCCTCCACACAGCCAACTCCCTCCACCAAAAAAAATGGTGTCAGGGCCTTGGACCATTCCCTCTGTGCTCTGAAGGCTGGCAGACTCCTCCTTCAACATGTAGCTAAGAAGACTGGGTAACAGATCTGGTTAAACCAGATAAAGTCACCAGTTAACAATCTGTTAATCAGCACACAGTTTCTTAGCACAACCAGGCTTAGAAAAAGGGTGTGGACAAAAACTAAACATTTAAAGAAAAAAGATGCTGCCTCTGATATGGGCTGTCTTTGGGCTGAGAAAAAAAGGTGGAGAGACGCCATCACCAAGACAGTATGTATTTTACCCCCCTTCAGTACAGGATCCTAATTCACAGAGATGGCGAGAGCTCTGAGAGGTCCTTCTTCGCAAGGAAAGGAAGTAACAGGAGAGAAGCACATGACCCGTAGGCATCAACATTGGTTGGCTCTATTTGGGGGAATGATGAAAATAAGACGAAGAGGGGGGGAAGGCACAGTTGGAGGGCAGGGAGCTGGCACCACTGGCCATCTTTGGAGTACTAAGCTGCCACTCTGATTTTTCAAACCAAACACTCATTCAAAGGTAGAGGGGGAAACAAACGTACAATACTGTTCAGATAGCATTCCGAAATGCATGAAAGATGCCTCCTCCTTGTTTGGAAAGAAATTTGGAAACCGGTCATATATTTGATTTTATCGGAACCTATCGAGATTAAATATGCAAAACCTTTTACCTTGAGGACAAAGTTGAGTATGAGCATAGCTTCCTGGCATTTAAAAATACAAGCATCGAGAGATAGGAAACCCTTCATATATTTATCACTGGCATGACAGAGGAAATTGGAAATTAGGAGGTTTCCTTAAAGAATCACAGGTGGACAGCCTGACCATATTTATATGAGCTTTCATTTCAGCTATTTGGACTTCTTTGACCAGAGTTCATTTAGCCATGCTGCCTAATGGTAGATTTTTTACTGAACTAATCAAATTAACGAGTGGTTTTAGTTTCTCTGGCATTAGGTCAGCCCAAGAAAAGCTATAGGAATGGCTGTAGATCAAGGAATAATAATACGTACAGCAAAGTCAAGTCCCAGCTTCCAGTACCCATCATAATCGCTCTAAGAAGAGGAAAAACAACCAGCTGTACTTTTCTAGGTCTGGCATAGAAAGAAAAGCAGAGAAGGTCCCACCCATTGCCTTCTGAAAGCTTCTAACAACCAGACTCTCAGTAAGTTCTCTCCCGATCCTGGGCTTACAGGGTTAGATGCCAGGTAAGGATGCAGTAGGGAAGGCTCGGAATTTCCCCTCAACAATCAAAGCTTCAGAAATAGCAGAATCTGATACTTTCAAGCAGGTGGGTTCTGGAAGTGTGAAACTTGAAAAAAAAAATTAGGGCTGGGGTAGAAGTTACAGGATAGTTTGCTTGCCTGGGAAGAAGGAAGTTAAGGAAGATGAAAAACAAACCCAGTCTGGCCACGCTCAGAGCTAAGAATGAAGCACTTAGATTGGTCTAAAGAAGTGACAGGAGCTAGAAATGGAGAACTAAGCATGATGCTAAGATAAACGTACAAGAAGCAAAGATGATGGAAACTGAGGGAAGCCTGTGTGCTCGGCCAACCTGAAGAGCTCTGACCGATACGCAGTGGGCTCCGGAATAAAGCAAGCTCTCCTGCCTTAAACCCCAAACAGAATGCCGACCATTTCCCACTGCCTGAAACCCACTGGGGAGAACAGTTCATTTCCTGCTTAAGTATTAACAGGGTGTCCTCAGGGGTGGCAATGTTTCACTGTTCCTAGCTATTAACATCTTAGGATAAATTTGGCTGAAGTGTTTGCCTCTTGAACAAAGTTCTTAGTGGATGGAAGGTGGTTTTCATTGGTTTTTTGAGAAAAGGCAAGTTTGAAGCTGAGGGCTGAGCAGTGCAGGATGGGGATGAAGGGGGAAAGGAAATGAAGAGAGGAGTCTAACGTATAGAAGGGGAGATGGGAAGATGCCCCAAATCTCAAACTCTGTCCAATTTAATCGGGGGCCTTCCCTGCCTGTCTAACTGAAAAGGTGAAACCAGGCATTCATGATGCCTGTCCTCTCTAAACTGTGTTCAGCTCGTAACTCTCACTCCATGCCCATGTAAACAATGGTTGCTGTTTGTTTGTTTTTTAAAAAAATGCTGCCAAGATCAGCTCTAGTTCTGGTTGCAATGCATTGGAGAAGCCCTGGCATAACATTGGTGATATGCTTCCCTCGCTACTCACTGAACCCAACCCAATAGCTCAGCACCCAACTAGGCACCTTTGAAGAAGGTGTCCCAGCTCCAGGTGGGCACAGCCCGTGGCCTGGAGAGCAGCGCTCAGGCTGAATTTCTGCTCCGACTTGCAGCCTCCACTGGGCCCCACCATGCAGTGAACAACTTGCAGAAAGGTGGGGGTGCTGGGGAATATCACCCCAAGACTCTTCCCTTTGGTTTCTAACATTTGAATCCTGAGTGACTCGGGAAAATACCTAACTTCCTCTGTACCTTAGCTACTTTAGCTTCATCCCTTCTAAGTCAGTGAATAAAAACCAGGTCTGCCTAAAATCCTCCCCAAACTATATGGGCATAAAGGCAAAGTGTTTCATTCAGAACAAATTTTTAAAGTCAAAAGTCAAAAGTATTCTTTATCTTTCTTGGGCTAAACATGTCTTGCATTTCATTCAGCATGCATACTGATCCACTTGATAAAAACAGTGTTTGATTAAATTATCTTAAAACTTGCAGGGTAAATACAGAATTATAAATTTAAATAGTTCCCTTAAATGCAGCAATCTATTTTTCCCCTGATGGGACTTTAGTCTGTATACTTCCAGCATAAGATTGTGTTAAAGACTCATTTCTGTGAGCACTCTCTAGAAACCATAGTCTTTTTTATCCATCTATCATTTGATATGCTCACTTAAAATTTTCGATTCATTGACTCGCAGAGATTATTTCAGCAAAGGAAGGGAGAAATATCATTATTTGCCCTGATATGGTAATTACCGTGGAAAAAGTTCAGGGAGCTACTACAGATCCCAGAAGATCCATGAAGGTTCAAGAAGGATGGAATTTTCTTTCTTGCCTACCCTCGCCGGAGGTACAGCTGCTAAGGGAACCACCTGTCTCCGAGATTTCCCCACACCAGCTGTAACTCAGGGCTGAAATCTACTGGATGCATTTCCAGGTCAGCTGCAGCACCAGATGGCTCGGCAATCTGATTCTGGGGACAGACTCCTCCTCCAGCAGGTCTGCTCCCAACTTCATCGTAAGGTGGGTGGTTAGACACTACACCATCCACAGGTCTCTTCAGTGGTCAGCAGCCGCCATAGGCACCAAGGGGACAACCTCTCAGCTTTGGGGGTTCCAGGAACGTTCATGAATGTCAGCCATGGGAAGTGACGCCCTGGGGCCTCTGGGGGATGAGCAGAGGCTAATGCAGTTTGATGAGTCAGGTGCCTCAGCAAGCCTAACTCCTTTTCCTGCTTAATGCTGCTCATTTTTGCTACTTCACATTTTTCTGCTTTGCTCGTTTGACACTAATAAGCACTTGGACTTCACAGTTCTTGCCACCTTTATCCACTCATTCAGGAGTTTCTGCCAGTGGCAGTAGCCAACTTACAAAAGAGGAACATGACCTTCCACACCCAAGTTACTTTATGGCATCCTGCTTTCCCAGTTTCATTGACACAATCCATCTTTCACGTGTCTATTTATCAACCCCAGTATACTGCTCCTTAGAAGGGCTTTTCAGATTCACAGGTGAGATCGGTCAAGTGAACCAAACACCTGTCTCAGGCCTACACAGAGCTCACACGTCCACTGCTGATGACTCCTCCACTGGTCATCAAGAGATGATGAGTCTGAAACATCATTGGTTACACATTAATGCACGGTGAACATTACATCTCCCTGAGAATTTATGTTGCTGCTTGAATTTGTACATCTAGCAGAGCCCCTAGGCAGGCAATGTAGGACAGATCAAGTGTGATGGTCGGTGGAAGAGGCCTGGGAGGGAAAGACCCGGGGTGCAGAGGGTCCTCGGTGAAGGCCAGGTGCAGGGCCTAACATGAGCCGCAAGCCAGTGGACGCTGGGCACTGAGGGCAGGCGAGAGGTACAGAAAGGCCACCTGGTTCCAGAGCCCCTTGTCTGCCACCCCTGTCTCCTCAGAGCCCCGACAAGGGGACTGGGAACCTTTCACACCCAGGTTCCCACAAGTGGACAAGTTTAGCAATCTAGTTGCCCATGTTCAGCTTGGAAAGCGAAATGTAATCAGTATTAT